CGTAAGGGCATGGGCTGTCATTGCTTTGTGGCTTCTGGGCTCGCGGAATGTGTAGCTGTCGCTCTTCGACGTTTGGACTCACAAAGATAAGGGGGAGGTGTAGACACAGGGGGTGGGGCTGGGGGGTTGGGCCAGATAGTGAGGGGTAGGCGGAAGGTACAGGCCAAGGAGAATAGAAAGAAGCGGCAAAGCTGGGCACCGTCTGCTCCTGGATGCCGCTAGCTTGGGGGGGGGTCACCCACTCCAATCAACAAGTATTACTACTAATTGCTTCAGAACACCCCCAAAAAATATTCTCCCTTATAAGGGTAATGTAGGGATTATAATATTTTATTCTTTTGGGGTTCTTAAGCAAATAGTAGATGATGTGCCATGGGGAGGGGGTTAGACTAGTGGGATGCCTGCCTTTTGCTACCCAAACACCGAGGCCTCGGTGGCTTTCTTAACACTTGGGCCCACAGATGCGAAGTCCCAGCATGTTCAAAGCTCAGCGCACAAGGTTGCTGCAACAAAGGAGATTCTTCAGTGAACCTCTCAATCTCTAAACCTCGCAACCCATCTAAACCCATCTAAACCCACCTAAACCCCTGAAGACCGCCTAGGCCTGGCCGTCGGTGCCCATGCCGGGCTCGCGGTGGCCTTCCGCGCCCGCGCGGCGCGCCAGGCGGAAGCGAAGCCGGAGGGAAAGTATGCCGGAGGCCCTGGAAGGTGTGTATTCTGGGGCTTGGGGCCTTTCAGGCTCTGGGGGTCTGGCGGAAGGAAAAGGTGTAGGGGCCTTTTTACAGTTTTACGGTTTCAGGGTTCCGGGCTCCTCAAAAGCCGTGTGCCGATGCAAAATTCTAGTTCAATGTTGAGAGCCTGTGCCTCAAGGTAGAGACCGTCGCAGACCAGCGCCTGTTCGAGCAGGCCGGCGTGTAAGTCCATGCCCTAAGCCCCTAGAGACTTCACTTTTCTCATGTTTGATCATCTTTTTTTTGGACTTGTTTGTAGTTTTTTTGGCCTAGAGATGATTGGAAGAATTCGCTAGAACATGTGATGAAGTGTTGGTAATAATATTTCATCTTTTTGTTTTTTTTTCGCGGGGTGGGGTGGGGGGGGGGGGTTGGAGCTTTCTAGCATCTGAAGCTCCAGCATCCTTCTTGTGGACACCGTTCATGTGATCGAACTCTAGGGATGTTGCCTGGAAAAGCAACTCTATCTTCCAAGTCCTTGTGAATAGCTTTTGCCGATACACAGCTTTTATCTAGTAGTGCTGCAAGATTTTAGGAAATACCTGAGTTCATCACAATACTACCAGTTGTGTTTTGTATTGTTGGGTAGTCGACGTAAACGACCGAAATACAGCCTGGTAGAATGCCTGCATGGTTGTAGCAGACAATACCCAACATACGCATTTTGGCTAAATCTGATCAAGTCGCGAATGGAGCAGGTGACAGGATGTTAGGAAGCAGGAGCAACTTCAACGGCAGGAGTCGCAACAGCCATCGTCCTGAACCTCCCCTCCCCCCTCCCACCCACCCCCAAACCCTAAACCCCGTACCCTTGCCCGACGGACCTGTAACCCCCTGTAGTCTTGAGACCCTAAAACCCTAAACCCTAAAACCCCCAAACAGGTCTACCTGCAGTACACATCTGAATACCTCAAGGGGCCTCTGTACTGGCACCCGGACAAGGCGTGACATGGCGGCACCTAAGCGGTTTAGAGGGTTTCGGGGTTTAGGGGCTTGAGGGTTTAGGGTTTAGGGGTTCAAGGTTTACGGGTTTCGGGGTTTAGGTTTCAGGGGCGACTCCTTCTGAGCACAAAATGCGCATTCACCGAGATGGCAGTTGCCCGCAGCAAGCACCGAAAACGCACCCCCAATGCTCACACACAGGAAGGCTGTAGAAGCTGGGCCGACACCTTCCCCAAGCCCCTCAACCCTAAACCCTGAACCCTGAACCCTGAACCCTAAACCCTCAACCCTAAACCCTGAACCCTGAACCCTGAACCCTGAACCCTGAACCCTCAACCCTAAACCCTAAACCCTAAACCCTAAACCCTGAACCCTAAACCCTAAACCATAAACCCTACCTAAACCCTGAACCCTGAACCTAAACAACTCAGCACCCCAAGCCCAAAACCCTGAAAAGCCCAGGCAGGGCTGGCTCCCGGACTACCCGGGCACCCCCATGATCAAGGAGGGCAAGTACACCAGCCACGTCTGGGGCCCTCTGAGGGTGGGTTGAGGGTTTAGGGTTTGGGGTCTGGGGATTTGTTTGCAGGGTCTTGTGCGGGGTGAAGCAAGCCAAGTCCTCCGAACCCTAAATCCTGAATGCCAAGCCTTTACTCAAACCCAAAGACCCCTAACCCAAACCCTCCCTCCCACCCCCAGGAAAACCCTAAACCCTCCCAAAGACCCTAAACAATGAACCCTAAACACCACACCCTAAACACCCACATGAAGAAGAAGAACGTGCCCCCGAGGTCATCGGCAACCTGAAGTCCTTCAGCTCCAACGAGCTTGCCTTCCTCTCCATGCTCTTCTTCGGTGTGGGCCCGGTTCTCAGGGCTGCCTCGTTGGTAGAGTATGGGGTTGGGATGTTCCCCCTTATACTAACAGAATCCCTTAAGGGCAAAAATGTGGGGGTTTCTCCGACATTGCGGGTACCTTATTGGGGTCCCATCATCAGGGAATCCGACTATTTGCGGGTCTATATTAGGGGCCCCTTCTTTTCGTAAACCCCCACATGTTCGGCAATCATGGGAATGTGATGGTTGCAGGGTCGGTGCCGATGCCCCAAGGTCGCAAAGTTTTCAAGGCATGCCCCCAAGACGGCTGAGCCATGCGGCCCCTGGCAAATCCCACGCCTTTCGGGCTCAGAGCCCCAAGGCCCAGCTTCAGGAACTCCTGACAGAACGAGCCGCATCCCAAACCCGAAGCCCTACGCGTTTAAATTTCCCAACTGTAGGCCCCTAACCCCCCTCAAGGCCAAGCCCGTAAGCAAGCCGTGTTGCGAGGCCTCTACGGCAACCTGATGTTCAACTTCTACGACCCGCAGTGGGCGAAGGTGGGAAGACAGGGCTTCGAGGAGTCTTTTGCAGAGGGGGTCGAGGGCCTTAAGGGTTTAGGAGTCGAAAGAGATACTCATGAGGGTTTAAGGACAAGGGTCGAGTGCTTCTGCCTATGGGTTGCGAAGGAGGGGATGTGCGGTCACACGTGTGGGTTGTTTGAAGCTGGAGCCCTTTCTGTGCTTTAGGGGCCAGGGTATCTTGACAAATCTTTCAACAACTCTTCTGCCGATTTTGGGGCACGAAGCGAACGACCCCACCGCCCTAAATCCTGACCCTACTTAAACCCAGCAGCTCAGCGAGGTGGATGCTGGTGGCTTCTTCAACGTCCTGTTCTCGGCATCTTGAGCTCCCCGAAAGCCCCGGCGCGACTCAGACTCTGTGGTTCAGGACCCCGAACCCCGAGGTGGTTCGAGGTTTTCGGAGGATTGGCCGAGGTGTCCTACATCGTGGAGTCTTTCCTGCTTCCGATCTCCTTCTTCATGCACATCGCCTGCTACATCCAGAGGCAGAACGGCCTCTAGCCTGCAGAAATCTCTTGCGTGAGGCCTCTGTCACTCTGCCAGAGTGCTCGAAGCCGAAGATCTTGATCGTCTGGCCATGTCCATACAGCCCAAGCCCCAACCTCCGACCACTCTATGAATTCCAGCAGAAGCTAGATAATTAGGGGCCTCAAGGTTTAGCGCTTTTGGGTCCAGAAAACACCGGAGCCTAAATCTTTGCCAACATGATCCCTCTTGTTTGTTTCCATAGATCTGTCATCCCCGCAAATCAGACTTTCGGCCCGCTTTATCCCAGAGTACCCCACGTTAATCAAGTAGATTCATTTTCTAGACGGCCGTAGGCCTTAGATTCCTTCCCTCGTCCCCTTCCTAGGAAAGTGAGGGCGCCCACCTTGCGGTGGTCCGCCGCTTTTTAGAGGGCCGGCGGTGTCTAGGCCACTGGTAGCACCTTGGCGAGGTTTGATTGAGGCTTCGAGGTTTCGTTGGTTTCCGAGTTTCTGTTTTCGCAGTTGTAAGCTTCCTCTGGGAATGATAGGCTGGATGCAACGTGCCTTGGCATGAGCTTCAACCAGCTGTGCTCAGGTTCCAGTGCACGCACGACGTGCTGAGCGAACAAAAGCCACCTGCGTGCTTGCATGCGATTTAGTTTCAAGCCTTTATCTGTTGCGAATTGTTGCGAGTTGTTATGAAGTGTGTTAGTGGCTGCTAGTGCACCCAGCGTATGTATGTATGTATGTATGTATGTATGTATGTATGTATGTATGTATGTATGTATGTATGTATGTATGTATGTATGTATGTATGTATGTATGTATGTATGTATGTATGTTGTATGTATGTATGTATGTATGTATGTATGTATGTATGTATGTATGTATGTATGTATGTATGTATGTATGTATGTATGTATGTATGTATGTATGTATGTATGTATGTATGTATGTATGTATGTATGTGTGTGTGTATGTATGTATGTGTGTGTATGTATGTATGTGTGTCTGCGCTTTTGCGTAGTGTTGCTGTTCTTGTCTTTGCCATCGACACGGGAGACCAGGGCTGTCTTGTCGGCTCAAGCACCATGAGACAGCCCGCACTAAAGTTCTGCAGCCCTAAGCTCAGCAGGATTCAACCCTCAGTCTAAGCTGCCAAGACAGGTAGCAATACGAAGCGCAGTCACGATGATCATAAGCAACAGAAATTTGATCAATGCCATGGCTTCCGCAGCGCCGGCGCGGAAGAGGCAGCTCCAAAGGGTCCTCCCGACTGGAAAAAGGCGAGGAGGGGGTGCGGAGGACGGGGTTGGGTTGGAGGTGCAGGGTAGGAGCACGCTGGAGGATTTGTTGGAGAAGAAAGGCCAGTCTTAGTTTGGGCTGCCAGTCCAACGAGCCTCCACCGAAAGGTGAGCGCTTTGCTTGCCACACAAGACGCACTGCCTCCGGTTTCCTCCAATGCAGTTGCGTACCCATTTCTGGGTGTATGTCACGTTTCTGTGAAGGTTTAAGGTTTATTTGGGCCTAGAGGCTTGGTAGTAGTTGAGGAAAACCGTACATTCTGAACCTCAAACCCCAATCCCTTCTACTAGGAATCCGTAAGTCTAGGGTATCCTCAACTGACCCTTGAAGCCTGAAAACCCCAAGCCGTTAAGCCCCACAAGCTCTACAAGCTCTAAAACCTTCTCGACCCTAACAGACCAAAGAACCCTTACGAACCCAGGCCCTAACTCAGCCCAAATTTAAAGCCCAAAGCCCAATCGACCCTTCTGACTGCAGGCCGCGCGGCCTCCAGCGTCTGCGCAGCTTCTCTGCCGGCCTCGCCTACGCGCACAGCCAGGCCGGTGGCCCCGCGCGGACGCCCTGAAGCCCACAACCCTCAACCCCAGAGCGCCTCTGGGCCCTCTCTGCCTGGAAGGTTCTGCTATCTGGGGCTTGAGGCCAAACACTAAGCGGGTGGTTGTTCCAAAGGAAGAGTCGTCTTGGGCAAGGGGCTCTCTTATACAAAGCTGGCCTATACGGGGGGTCTAGCGTAGGACCATCCCCACGTGCAAGCGAAACCGCAGCCCCCTCAGGCGTACGCGAAGGTCTGTGGCCCGGAGTGGATCCGCAACGAGGCTGCACATGGAGGCTGTGCTGTTCCCCCTTGCTTGTTCATAGATGTTTATGTTATGTGGCTATATGAGGGTATGAATCAAAACGCCCAAGCCCTAAGCTGCCTAAACCCACAGCGCCCAAGGGAAACGCCCAAGCCCTAAGCTGCCTAAACCCACAGCGCCCAAGGAATATGACCCTAAACCCTAAACCTTGTCCTTGTACCCTGTATCCTAAACAACGGCCCTAAACCCTAAACCCTAAACCCAAAACCCAAAACCCTAAACCTCTAAACCCTAAACCCTAGACGCTCTTCAGACTCGAGGTACGCTCCGAGGCCGGCTCCTCAACCGCCGCGTGGCGCTGGTGGTGTGCGGGGAGGCCCCAGGGTTCAGGGGTTCAGGGTTTCACCCTGTACCCTCAACCCTAAACCCTAAACCCCAAACCCTAAACCCCAAACCTCAGCACCCCTAAACCCCTAAACCCCGAAACCTGAAGCCCTGAGCCCTAAACCCGGAAGCCCTGCGAGATGAAGGCAAAGCAACTTGAGGCTAAGGAGTTCAACTCTGGGGTTGGATTGATGAGGCTTTTTGGTGCTTCTATAAACCCCAAAGCATATGAACAGATTATGTATATATACATATATACATATATATACATATATATATATATATATATATATATATATTTACGTACATAGATAGATGCATACATACACAAACACACATACATACATACATACATATGTTTATATATATATATATATATATATGTAGATTTACGTACATAGATACATAGATAGATACATTCACACACATATATATATATATATATCATTTTCTTTTATACAAGCTTGTAATGCAATATACATTCGAATATGCAATATACAATATACCATATGCAGTAGATATTGTGTAAACGTAGATAGTTTATAATGCCTAATAGATCGTTACATATATATATATATATATATACACATACATATATTATACTGTATATAGTAAGTGCTCTAAACCCTAAAAAGTACAAGATATCGCCTGTGCTCTGTATCATATGATACACTTTACGTAAGAAACACTACGTGAGAAGTGCAGGCTTTTGGGAGGCCTCGGCTTCGGGCTCCTGTAAGTTGATCCCGTCTTGGGGTAGCCGTTCTCGCGTCCTTAGCCCTTTAAACCCGAAAGTATATATATATATATATATGTATATACATATATAATTTCCGTGAAGGGTTAGACCTTGTGTATTATACATATAGCTCACTTATAGGGCTTAGAGTTTTCGGGCACCAGAGTTGACTTGGAGGCCCATGAGGATGTGGTGGACCTCACGCGCAAGTCTTGCATCATCGAGCCGGAGAAGGCAGCTGCTTTGGGTTCTCGGGTTCTCAGGTTTGGGGTTGAAAGCTCCCGACCCGAATTTCCCCAGAGTGGTAAGGCCCCCAGCGCCCCACTTGGGGGCATGTTCTAATTTGCATGGGTGCTTTCTAAAGTTGACTTGAGAAGGACACCTTCCCCCCTCCTCCCCCCCAAAAGAAAGAGGGTAGACGGTTTCCAACAACCTTTGCGAGGGCTGGCGCAAGTTGGCAGATGCCGGCACCCTGGGGCCTTCACTGGCGACAAAGGCCTTCACTCCCTCCGTTTTTTTTGGTGTTTTGTTTTCGGGTTTTCCTCGGTTGCTTGGGAGGATCAGGGCTCAGGATTCTCAGGCTTAGCTGGACCCTCAGCCCTAAAGGTCCCGGCTAGAGCACCCGGCAGCCCTAAACCTCTCACCCCTAACCCTTAAACCCTAAGCCTAAGCCCATGGGCCTTTGGCCCAGGACTGCCGCTCCCTGAAGGGGGCCAAGGCCTGGGCTTCTCGGGCGGTGGACGAGGCGGAGGACGGGATTTTTGAGTTTCTTCTTTTTTTTTGTAGGGTTTAGGGCTTCGGGTTTAGGATTTAGGTTTTAGGATTTAGGGGTTAGGGTTTAGGAGTTAAGGGTTTAGGGGGGCTTCAGGATTTTAATCTCGTGGCTCAGGCAGGCTTTGAGGGTTCAGTTGTTTTAGATTTAGGGTTTGGTTGGGTTTAGGGGTTTGGGTGTAGGTGTTGTTTTGCTGTTGCAGTTTTGGGGATTGGGGGGTTTAGGCCTTTTGGGCTTTGGCTTCGAGTTAGGGAAGCTTGTGCGGCTCCACCTAACACCACCCCAAACCTAGTAGGGCTCTTGGAGGACAGCGAGGAGGAGGACCTCATCGGCGCGAAGATGATCTACCAGGCGAGGGCCTTCCCCCCTCCGGCTTTCCGCAGCTTGGGGGGGGGGGTTGTGCTCAGAGAGGGCTTGTAGGGGCCTTATAACCTTAGGATGCTTGAAGAGCCTTCAGGAGGGTTCTCGCGACTTTGGGTTGGGGCGGGGCTCTACCATCATTTGCAGGCTTCTACTATGACAGAAATTCTCGTCGGTAACGGGGCTTGTAACAGAAACTGTAACGGAAAGGAGTGGAGCTGTGACGGATTTGTCGCGGAGCTGTAACGGAGCTGTATCGAAAGGCTGCAACGGAGCGCTGCCGGCTGTAGCGATGCTGTAACGGAAGCTGTAACCGAGCCGTAGCTGAAGCAGCAACTTGAGAACGGACCTGTAACGGCCCTGTAACGGAACTGTAACGGAGCTGTACAACTGAGCTGGAACGGAAGCTGTAATGGAGCTGTAACGGAGGTGCAACGGAGTTGTAATGGAGCTGTAGCAGTGCTGTAACGGAGCTGTAACGGAGCTGTAACGGAAGCTGTAACGGAACCTAAGTCTTCGGGTCTTCAGGGCATAGTCTCCCCTGAGCCGGGCCGGCCACTGCATGCTGCATGAGGGGTTCAGGGGTTTTAATGTGTGGGGTTTACGGCTTTTGCGTTCAGGGGCTTGGGGTTTTGGATTTTTGAAGCTGCAGGCTTACCCCAAAACTCAAGCCCTGCCCCCAAGCCCTTGGTTCAAGCAGCAGGGTTTAGGTCTCTTAGGGTTGAACTCGAAGGTTTAGGGGCGGATTGGCCCGAACTCTGTGTAAGAGTGCTCCCCTTGGCACGGATGCGGCTCAAAAACCCAAACCTCAAAGCTCCTAACTCCCTAAGCCCCGAACCCTAGACCCCTAAACCTCAACCCCTAAACTCTAAATCATATGCCCTAAATCCTCAAAATCCCTAAATCTCTCAAACCCCTGAACCCCCGAACCCCCGAACCCCCGAACCCCTGAACCCCTAAAACCCCTAAAACCCCTGAACCCCGGGCAGTTTCATGGGGCCTTTTTATGGTCCCTTAACCTCCTTTGAAGGGTCCTCAAGTATAGGCCCTTAATTTGTATGTACAGGGTATTTAAAGGGGATGATATGAGGGGTGCCCTTTTATGGGCCATGCTGAGGGACCATGAAACGACCCTTAGACCCCCCAGCAAAGCAATTCCACCAGGCCGAGGAGGATGCCGAGTCGGCCGGGACGGCGCGCGTCTTCCGGCCCAGTCAGCCTTGGCACCGGCACAGCCCGCACCTGAGGCGCCAGCGCTTTGGGGGGGAGGGGGGGGGGTTGGAGGGTTTAGGGATGTTGAGGGTTTTGGGGCTCAGGGTTTGGGATTTTTACAACATAGTCAGGACGGTAGGGGTTTGCAGGGTCCTCGGGTCTTACAGTGTTGTTGGTTTTTTTAAAACTTCAGGCCCTGCACCTCTGCCCTTAAAGCTCCAACCCCGAAACCCCTAAACCCTGAACCCTAAACTTCAAACCCGAAACCCAAGCCCTAAACCCTAAACCCTAAACCCTAAACCCTAAACCCTAAACCCTAAACCCTAAACCCTAAACCCTAAACCCTAAACCCTAAACCCTAAACCCTAAACCCTAAACCCTAAACCCTAAACCCGAATTGGTCTCCTTAGCCAGGCCGCACCGGAGCCCGCGCTTGAGCCCACAGCCCAGCCCGCTTGCCGAGAGCTGAGCGGTTTCGGGTTTGTGGGTTTTCGTTGCATTTTTTTGGTTGGTTTGGCTGTTTGGCTGGGTGCTTAGTAGCGTTTATTATTTCATTTTGTCATTTTTTTCTTATGTTTTTTGGTGTGGGGGGGGCAGATTTTTCAGGTTGTTGAGCTATACAAACACGGCTGGCTGCTATGCGGCTTGGAGTTTGGGGTTTAGGGTAAACCTGAAACCCACCCTTCAACATCAGGTGTTCAAGTTCAGTGCATGGACTTGCATGCCAAGGCTGACTCTTCGAAACTTCATGTCTTTGAGTGGTCTGACTTGGACACGGAGGCGAGACTTCAGTTTTCCAATTTAGGCTTTTGGGGTTCGGGTGTTGGGGCGCAATTGTATCTGGAATTCTCCACCCTAAACCATGAACCCTCAACCCCTTCTTTCTGAGCCGAAACTCATTTCAGCTGTCCGCGCTTGGCTTTGTTTTGGAGCCTTGAAGCAGACATCACCTTGCTTAGCATGACTTTCTGCAGAAGAGTTGCTCTACTTGCCGTGGGCCGCGGGTTTAAGGTTGTATACGATCTGCTATTTCTCTTACATAGGCCATGAAGATCCGGAGCCAGGGCCGCAGAGAAGTTCTTGGCGTGACCGGAGTTCCTTGAGAGCCACGACATCCCAACACCCGGGCACCTGTACGACGCAAGAGGCTACATGACTACCTTCTAGCCTTGCTGACATCTACTCACGACCGCCCCAGAAATATCCATGCCACTTAAAAGTAGGCACCCAAAGCCTAAAAGCCTTACGTCCATTCTCATTCCATGCCGAAGGCCGACGAGCTCAACAAGCGGAGGTTGAACGGAGAGGAGGTGCCGGCCAAAGAGCTCGCCGGCTGGCAGGATTTCAGAGGCTACCGACCCTGAGCTCGTAGCTCTAAGACTCGACCCAAAGCTTGGAGCCGCAGAGCCTTAGAGCCCTAAATCCTGAACCCTACCGCAAGCGTGAGCCCCCACAAGTGGAGCTCTTGACCCTGAACCCTGAACCCTGATCCCTGAACCCTGAACCCTAAACCCTAAACCCTAAACCTTAAACCCTAAATTGAACCGTGAATCCTTAAAGGCTTTGGACCCCAAACCCTACCGCCTTAAAGCTCTGGCACAGCCCGAGGATGCACTCATCTCTGAGCGGAAGAAGGCGAGGCTCAGCGAGGGGCTGGAGCCGCGCGGGTTGCGTTTAGGGGTCAATCTTTAGGGTTTTGGGGGGTTTCTAGCTTTTAGTGGCTTAGGCTTCAGTTGAGGTTTTCTGGATGTAGGCCAGGGCTTTGGGTTTTGGGGCCTCCAGTGGCTTTCCGGGGGCAGAAGCCCGAGAGGGTTTCGCGTTTAGGGCTTTGCCTGAGGAAGCGTCCGGCAGGCTCTTTTCCCGCACAGGGTTTAGGCTTCGGGGCTCGAATTAAGCCTTGCAGTCTCGGAAGACCCAGACACCCCAACAATGGCTCAACGGAAAAACAAAAATCAACAACGACAACTACCCTCGCCAGCTACCCTGAGCCCTCGACCCAAAACCCTACACTCTCGGCTCTGAGCTTAGGCTCTTCGATGACTGGCTGTTGCGACAAGCCAGCAGCCTGA